TGAATGTCAATGGGTGCCATTTTTTCCACTTGCAGGAATTCAGTTTCACGCCTTTGTTTCATGTGCACTTCCATGTCAGGTACCATTCTGTCACACTGCCCCTCTGCTGCCATCTGTCACATGACAACAGCACATAATGGAATACTGGTGGGAAGGTTCAGCCTCTACTGCCATACCACCACCATCTACCTCTGACATTGTGGGCCGACATCATTAAGTGAGAGGCATTACTTTCAGAGCAGCCATTGTACTTTTGTCACTTTTCCTAAACAAGTAGAGAAGGCAGGTTTCTTTCAGAGCTTGAGCTGGTTCTGATTATTAGTCTCAGTTACCTTTTATTATTTTTTCCTTCTTTTTAGTATTGTTATGCTTATCTAACTGTGGTGGTTGACAGCTGTGTCTCGTGCTTTGTGCCCAGTGCTTTACAAACACAGAGATAAGACAATCCAGGTTTCCAAGAGTTTTTTATTTACGTTGTCAGGAGAAAAAAAAAAAATGAGAAGGGTAAATAGATGGAAAATGAACCAGCCAGACTGATAATGTAGCAGTGTCTTATCAGTTATTGGATTGGTAGTGGAATGTGTTGGGGAAGTAATCACAGAGGAGGATTTTAAGAAGGGTATAGAGTTAGGTACATGTAGAAGTGTTCCAGGGAAACTCTTTCAACTGGAAGGAAATGTACAGGAGAAGATGCAGCATTTGTGAATTTCATGGTGGCTGTTAAAATGGGAATCAATTGTGGCAAAGCTTTTAGTTTATTATTTTCCCAGGCTGATTTTATTAATATTTGTAACAGAGCAAATGCTACCTAAAAACCACTCGAGATGTTTTGGGAAGTCGGTATGGTTGTGTTCTCTGCATTTTACCCTATTGTTACAGCTACATCTACTTACCAGCATTCCTAGCTGATCTTGGGATTGTACTGGCTATGAGGTTTCTTTTTTTTGAGACTGGCATGATATATTCTCATATGTGGTGATGGTTACGCTGTTTATGTGAAAAGCTGATCATTTTTGTTTTGCTTACTTAAAGAATTTTGTCCTAGGCGATCGTCATGGGAGTTTCCATCTGTTCTGGTTTTCCCTATGGTTGTATCACTTTTTTCTAGAAACATCAGAGAATAATTATAGGTATATTTTCCATAAGACTTCTCCTCACCCCCCAAAAAAAGAAAAACCTTCAAATCTAAGAGCATGAGTGGTGGTGATGTTGATATGAAGTACCATGATTTTATGTGTTTTTGAAATCTTGTATAGCTGAAGTCTCTCAGGGATCGAGAGATCCAAGGAATTGCAGAGACTGTAGCATTAAGCAGTATCAGAAAACTGCGGATGTAAAGAAAATATTTTTTGCAGCAAGTTTACTTGACTAACTCCAGTGGGTGTTTTTGTTCACAGTACAAATTCTGGCTGGTATCTCTCTTTTCCTGTAGCAGTTGTTTCAGATTGGAACTTTTCCCACAAGACCTATTTCTAGAATTAGATTCAGATTGAGAAGTACTGTGCAGTTGTTACTGTCATAAAAACAATCTGCTATAGCTTGATTATGGGACCAAACTGAAAATGAAGGAAATGAGAAAATGTCAGTGTAATTTCTTAACGAAAATTATCTAACTTGTTATGAAGTCTGATATTGATATTGTTGGTGTATTAAGCAAAAGCTCTGACTTTCATTGGGAAAGATATAGCTTTCACTGTAAAATAAAGGATGTTCACTGCAATGGTATGTCCTTGAGATGTGCATCCTATAGAACATATCCTTTTTTAGAGTTGCACTGAATGGCTGGTATTTCACCATATTGTGAATTTTCAGATCATTGATCAGTGATCAGTATCACTATTATGATTCCCAGGGAATTCTCCTAGTAGCTTTTCTTTAAAAAACTTCTAAGGCAGAGTTGTTGCCGGAAAAGCAGCACTTTGTTCACATGCTGGAAGTGTTGGAGGAAGCACTGAGCTTCTAAACTTGATAGCAAGTAAAAGTTCTGTGAATAGAGAGAGAACTGGTTTACTGACGGGCAAGGAAAGGTCACATCTTGGCTTCATTTAGCATGCAGTATCTAGATAGCTAATTAGATTAATAACTGATTAAAGAGAACCTGCTGACTCCATCTTGAAGATGAAAATGAATCAGTGTATGGTTGTACCCCTGTGCAACTAGAGAGAAAGGGAAGTCTTCTGAGAAAAAAAATGATTCTGCTTGTTTGCTGAAGCATTGCTCTGGTGCTGAAGAGTCCAGACGATTTTCCTATGATCTGCACAGCCATGAAATAAAAAGAATTGCAATAAGTGACTTACAGATGAAGTTTCACTGGCCTGTGGTTGTTGGCCACAGCTGGCCACAGTTGAGGTCTTTGGTTCACAACCCAGCTATCCAGATGGGATTTGACCAGCAAGCTGTCAGGTGACACAAAAAGGCCTTGTGTAGCTGACATAAAGAGGATAGGATGAGGAGACTTAGTGTGTTGCCATTTGAGCTAAGAGATGAAGGTAAAGAAAATTCACTGGTTTCATGTTTATCAGTTTGATAAACCTGCCCTTATTAAGGACTTGGTTTTTTGTGCATTAGGAGATAGGTCTCAAAATAGATACACCTCAGATTCTACTTTAAATAATATATCATTTTTTTATTGTGATTAGGGATGAGGGGAGGCTGGAGGTTTGTTCAGAGTTTATACACTATGAATTAATAAGGAACTAGTTTTGTTATCAGGTGTACAAGTCTGTTAGTCTTTTGATCAGAAAAGGTGTTGTAAAGTTCTGCCACTTAAACTCCTTATACTAAATTAAAATCCAGAAACAAAACCTTTGTTTAGTGCAAGTTATTTTTTTCTGCCAGCAGTGATACTCTGAATGACAAAATCAGAAGTTAAACTTCATCTACAAGAAGGATGTGACTTGTTACTGTTTATTACCTTGACAACAGCCTCTAAGTGGGACTTCAGTATTAGTGAATTCATTAGTGAATTTTTAAATCCTTACTCGGGAAAAATTGGTGGTGGGTAGATGGTTGGACTGTATAATCTTGGAGACCTTTTTCATGCTTGGTGATTCTGTGATTGTAATAATGAGCATGTGTGAGTTTTTATTGCACATCTAAATGTTTACTTCAAGACTGAGTCCTACAATTGGCTGCCATCCAACTGGTCGTAGGAGCACTCCTTCTTGATGTCAGTCACAGTCTAAAGTGTATTCATGGTAGCTCCAACTATTGCAGCTGCCTTCCAGGGTGGGATGAGTCAAAATACTGCTCATAGCTCCAGTTATTATAGCAGGTTTTTAAGGTAGAGTACTTCAATCACTTTCGGTCGTGGAGGTATGCCCTGATGAATTGAATTACTATCCATCAGTTTATTGAGGACCAGATGTGTGCCTTAATATTTTTGTCTGCAGTGACCCAATACCATGCTCTGCACTTTTAATTACCACTTTTATTAACCGCAAGATTTTAGGTTCAAAGCAACTTAGACCTTTAGTTGTGGGTTATGATACTGTTGGACTTGTTACTATACAGCTACTCAACTGTGACTCCCACACAAATAGCTTGTTATCTAGTTTAAGGCAAGAAATAGCAAGTAGGCAAGTGGAGAGCATGAAGGAACTGTGAGGCAATACTGATCAGAATAGTGAGCAGTAGTGTCAGTGCTTTCCCAACTGTAGGCAGTTATTTGAAGCAGAATAGTGAGTTATCTGTGGGGACCTTTGCAGAAACCTCTTCCCATATACTGCTGCAAACACACGTGCTCTTTTGAAAATCTAGTGGCAATGATATAAAATTTTTGTCTGTGTTGGGGATTGTTTTTTTGTACTGAATGAGAGCTAACAAAGAAAGGCTTTGAGAGGGGTGGTACAAGTTGGATATGCTTGGTGCAGGTTTCAAGAACTGGAAGGAAATACAGATAAAATGATAAGCTCTTGTAAGCTTTGGTTGCAGGTGTCTAAAAAGACCTTTCAAGTGGATGGACATGTGCCAGTTCAGTATATTTTTAAGAGAGAGAAAAAGTTACTGGACTGAGATATGAGAAGATCAAACTCCGTAGAGTAGTCATTTTTGTGCAAAACTTACACTTTGAAAGAAGTGGAAAACTAATGACGTCTGTAGGCAAGAACTTGGAGAAAAAGTTAGTCTGAAGTAGTCACAGGCTAGGGAAACAAGCCAAATGGATGTGGGATCCATCATCGGGGTCACAGGTGCTTCACAGAACCTGATGGAAAAATCAGGAGTGCTGCCTTGGAGATGTTATTTTGTGATAGTATCTAAGCATAATTAGATCTGTAGGAAGCAGTGAGTTTTTACTATACCCAGAAACAGATACAGAAAAGAGGAGATATGTCCAAAGCAGTTTTATAGTTTAACAAATCCCTATTATAGTATCAAAATCTCATCTCTGATGGATTGCTCCTGCTGAGAAGCAACTAACTCTTGTGACTAATCCCACTGAACACAAGTCAAGAGGGACAAAAAGTAGTCTTCAGAAATGCAAGTCAGATTAAAATGCAACTTGTTTGTGTATGTGAGAGATCATACCAGGAGGATACAGTATGATGTGCAGCAGTGAGCTGCATTATGTGTTGTCTCAATGACACAGCTCCAGATGGTTCTACACATGCAGAGTGGAAATTTTAACTGATCTATCAGTTCTAGTGAAATCTTATCTCCTGTCATTTTTGTTTATGCATTTAAACAGATGTAGTTTCTGATATAGTAGCTCAACATCACTTTCATATCCAGGTAGTCCCCTGTAACTCAGTGGTGCTCCCCAGGGATTAAGGTACTGTTCACTGCAAATGGGGGCATTGGCAACTTGCTCTTTGTTGTCAGGTGACATTTCAAGGTTAAATGTGATGTCAGTTGATGTTTCCAGAAGACTGGGAGTAATTGTGAATATGATGGCAATGTTGCTATAAACGATAATACTAATGTAAACAATATGAAGAATGTATCTGCTCACTGGGTTTTGTTGTTGTTGTTTTTTTTGTTCTCAACGTTCATTTCTTAAGAAAATTGGCTAAAAAGCGAAAAGAGACATTGAGCAGTACGCGGCAGGAAATGACAGTGATGGTGAATTCAATGGATAAAAGCTACACTGAGCAAGGCACCAACTGTGATGAAGCTTTCTCTTTCATGGACACACACAATCTAAATGGGAGATGTAAGTCTTTTCTTTCTTTCCTTCTTTTTTTCCTTTTTCTTCCACCTTAAAAAAAAAAAAAAAAAAAAAAAAAAAAAAAAAAAAGTGCAAATGGTTTTTAAAATATTCCTCATTACTCAGTCATGGAAAATCTATGGAGCACAGAGCCTCTCACTGTGCAGCACATTACAGGGTGTATTTGAATGAGTAAGACAGCCAGACAGCAAGAAAAGACTTCTTTAAAAATAATAAGAATAATTGAGCTTCTTTCTGCCCACTTTTTCTTCTGCAGAAGAGCAAATACAATACAGAAACAGCTGTAGTTTTTCCTTTCTCCGATCTCCATTATGTTAAAAATTTTATCTTCCTCATCCTGTCCCAAGTCCTTCAAATGCTTCCCCTCCTCACTTTTTTTTTTTTTTTTTTTTGGGGGTAGGCAAAATTATTTTTGAATGTCATAACGTAATAATGGTGATCCAATTGTCATATTATTTCCAGTTCTAGATGATTCTCTTTCTGTTGCTTGTGAAAAAAAAAAAAAAAAAAAAAATTAGCTGAATTATGAGCACTGCAGTTATAGGAGAATGCCTAAAATAATAATAAGAATAAGAGAATGCCTAAAATCCTGAGTCTTCATGGATCTACCCTCAAATTAAATAAAATTTAGGATATACATTTTCCTAACCAGAGTTTGGTCAAAGACTTGCCTCTGCCTGGGGGTTACCAATCACCAAAGACCAGGATTGCAGTAGTTTTTCATATAACTGTTAAAAAGAATGGGAAAAAAAGTTGACAAAACATTATAGTTTTTTGTAGCTCTTAAGGAATCTCAGGTTTTTTTTGTATACCAGTCTTTTTGAACATCATCAGAATTTAACAAAGATTCTATTTTGTTTCAAGTACTAGAAGACTGTAAGGCCCAATTCATAATATGCTTAAGAACATTGATTAGCTCAGTTGTTACAAACAGTCTGTGAAGTTTGTTCAGTAAGACTTCTTTCAGCAGCTTTGGGTTCAGAATTTGCAGTGTTCATTCGCATTTGTGTTGATTCTGAAATTACTTTGAAATAGATTTTTCAAAATCTGCCTTGCCTTTTTGGTGAGACTATCCCATTTTAGTTAATGAGACTGCTTCTTTAGTGAGGAGATCAAGAAGTTTGGCTTTCTCTTCTATCCTCATGGTGTAGTCTTCCACTATGTTGTTGAATGGTCGCAACAACCAAAGAACCTCCAGTTAGTTCCTGTGAGTACATCCCCTTTTCATGCAAACCACCTTAAAACAATTTGAAATTGCATGGCAAATACTTTACACTGACTGAGAACCAGAACCTTTAATTCAAGCTTTCTGTAATAAATGTGGTCACTAGAAGAATCAGTTTGACAGTCTTGAGAAAAATCTTTTTGTAAGACCTTGTTCTCAAGAGATTTAAAACATTCCTACCTCCTATAAAAGTTTATTGTCCTGGCAACATTCTGTATCTCACCAGTTTTATTAGCTGCCGCAACCTCGACCTCAGCTAGTCTCTACATCCATTTCCGAAAGAATTACCTCTGTGTCCTTTGCTTCTAGTGACAGAATCAAAGGAAAGTAGTCTCAGATATATTCATTTAGAGGATAAATGGTATCTTCCAGGATACGTTAGCCGGTTTCCAAATAGCTCCATTTTAACAAGGGCTGTTAACTGTGTACGAACAGCAAAAAAAAAAAAAAAAAAAAAGACAAATCGAAGCTACCAGTCATCTCAGTCTTTCTCATCCAGCTGATCCTGTCTTCCCAAACTCTGCTTTTTTTTTTCCTAAATTCCTGTTAGTTTGCTTATATGTATCCAGAATAAGTTTATATTTATTTACTCATCTGAGTTAATTTCAGCCGTACAGATAAGCAAAATTACCTCAACTAATGTCTAGTTTGAAAAAGCTTTGTTTAGCAACCTTTAATGAGTCTTTGGGTGAACATCCTCTGTAATGTTATGATTAATGCTCTCCTGTTGGATGTATCTGTGCTTACAAAGGTAATTCATATGATCTCTGGAAGCCAGGGAACTAACATTCTTTGTGTTCTGCCTTTTACAAACAGCTAAATCAGTAAACACCAATGCCAGCACTGGTGTATGTACAACAGCTTGAAAACCATTCTTAAAGAGTAATATTTAGAGCATAAATACCATCTGGGTATTATCCCCCCTTTGAACAAATTGAAAAAGACAGAGAAAAATGAACTGTAGCAGAATGTTTACCTACAGTATTTACTGTATTATTAAGTAAACTTACTAGTGATCAAAGCTTCTGTCAAAAGCACCTGTTGTCACTGTGATGTCTTTATTGAAGCACCAGTATTCAGTCTAGTCTTGTGATTTAAAAGGTATATTTGTCATCGCTGATCAAAATGCTTTATCTGATGATATTTCTTTCAAGGCAATTGATCAAATTCTGTAAGTCATTCATTTTGTTCACTAGACGCACCTGCTTTTCCCTAGGTCCCGATTAGAGTGTGACAAGCATGGCAGAAAACCAAATCAGCTGCACGTGCCTTGTCACTCAGCTTAGATAGCTGCATTGCACTCTGCCGTCTCTAACTAGCCTTCTTTCTTTTTGCAGCTGTATCTTCACCATCTTCATTTACAATGAAAACTAATACACTGAGCACGACAGTGCCTAACTCTTATTACCCAGGTAACCAATTTTTTTTTCTTTGCTTCAACCCCATGTAAATTTTTTCATTACAGAAGCGTATGTAATTATGTTATTATACTCCTTGCCATGGACATTTAATACGTGTTCCATGTAACCAGTTGCTTACAGTACCTTTCTGAAAGAAAACTCAGGAACGCTTATCAATCATTTTCTGTTCTCTCTCTTTTTACCTTTTCTGCATTGACCTCCTTATGATGTATGACAGATCCATTTGTGCCAACTGCAATTTTAGGTGAGAACATTTCCCTTTATCAAAGTTATTGCTGAAGTAATTTAGAAAGCCACAGACAATAGTATGCAAAAAAGCTGTAGTTTTATGCTCGAGGGAGGGGTGGTAGGCTTGTCTACACTGTGAGTGCTAAAGACAGTTATCAGGCTTGATTTCTACTGTCACAGTGCAAGTCAGGGGAGAAAAAAGAGAATTTTAACAAGTGGATTTGTGAGGAAATGTTTATGCATGTATTTGGAGTGATACAAAAGAATTTGATTATCACAGCAATTGAAATAGTTTCCCTCATTTTTTTCCTTTTTTTTTTTTCTCAGAACAGAAGATGTCACTTTTTAAAAACACCTTTTTTTCCTAATTAGACTATTCACAATGTAGAAAATCAGAAAAAATAGGGTTTGGGCCATCCACCAGCTATCATTTCTTACCATAATGCCACGGTTTCTCACATGATTGCCAAAGTGAAGTTTCAGAGGAGAGTTGGTATTTTGTATAGCAAAATAATAACATGACACTTCAGTAATACAGTTTATTGTGCATCAGGTGTCACAGGTATAAAATAAAGTGATAGAACTATAGTTTAAAAACATACAGTTAAAGTATACAGCATTTCCACAGGGAATTTGGGAAATCCTGTTGTTGTCCAATATCAGAAAGAGAGCAATTTCACACAGTAAGCAAATTGTAAACATGAAGTGCCATTGCATTGTCAGTGCTGAAGAAACTGACTACACTGTCTTGTATTTATTTACACTTTCTTCGCATAGTAACTTTAAACTAAACAGGGAAATACTTTAAAGTGATAAAATACAGAACAGTGCTCTGTAGCAAGAGTTCGAATTCCACTGCCAAACCTCTCTACTCGTCTTACTATTACTGACATTTTCTCCACCAATTTTTTTCTTCTTCGCCTTTTTCTTCATATCACCATAAAAAAAATGAAAAATAAAGACCTCTTAACTGATTCCTTTCTTTAAAATTCAAGTAAAACAATCTTAAATCGAATGAAGCACAGAGGAATTCCTTTCTTTAAAATTCAAGTAAAACAATCTTAAATAGAATGAAGCACAGAGGAACTTCCAGTATAGGAATTTGATCTGTGAAAGCTTGTTCTTGTAAAACAAGATTTAGAAAAGTGCATTTCAGTGTGTTAACTTTGAGAAGGAACCAGTGTGTTTTTATACATTATGTAAATTTGGGAGAAGGTAATGGTAGTGACTGTGACAATGTAATAATCTGCATGCAAATGAAATTTGCAGTGCCTTTTAACTGCCTGAAATGTTTAGATTTTTTTGTGTGTGCTTTAACATTCACTCAACACTTCATCCAGTAGATGTTCTGACCTTGTGGGTGGGCAAGGAGAAAAGTGTTATCAGGAGAAAAACTTTGAGATTTTTGTTGTCTGAGTTATTCCATCTTAGTTAATGTTTTCACTGGTTTCAGTTGGTTTTCCTTTTGTTTGCAATCCTTTGCAAAAAGTAATAGTAAAAATATTTGTTAGCTCTTTTTTCCCCACAAAAAATAATCTTTAAGTAAGCTGTTCAGATATCAGACAAACACATTGGAAGAAAAATAAATAAAAAAATCTTTGCATATATAAGTCTGTAAAGTCTTGAATTAGTTTGATACATATTTTATGGTCCAATACAGCAACATGTGACTTCCCATCTCAAAAAACCTTCTAGATATTTCCATGTAGATTATGAATATTTTTGTAGCCTTACATTTTAGAAGTATTATGAATGGTGTCGTATTCAAATAGGGCTTATTTCTCAAAAGGTGTTTATAATTGTTTCTATAAGAATAATGTTTTACTTGAGGTAAATCAAATTAGCTGTGTTCAAATCAGTTGAAGATTACAGCTATTAACAGAAGTGCTGTGTTTCTGTTGCAACTAACACCTGCTCTTGCCACCTTTCAATGTTTAAAGAAGCCATTTTAGGCTGTAGGGTCAAGTGTGTAGTTAAAAGTGTGACCTCCTTGGAAGGTACAGGTATTGCAAATGGCTGAGCTCAGTTTTCTCAGTCAGAAACTCCTGCAATGGCTGCAATACACTTACTATTTCCAAATTTCTCTATAGCACAATTTTGGGCCGATTCGTGCATATTAGGAGCTCCACCAAACAGAAAGAGAAAATTAATTAAAGCTAATGACGTACAGTTCAAATGGGCAACAATCTTACTTCTCAGTTTCAGATATGAGGAAATTTTCATATATTTGAGGGAGAACTTTCATGCTTATTCTAATAACTGAAAAGAAAACTTGAGAGCTCAATTAAAGCTTTACATGACAGCCACTAAATTTACATGAGTGTAGGTCATGCTTGTCATGTTTCAGTTGTATGTATTACTGAAATTGGAGAAATAAAAGAGTGCTGTCCTGAAGATAGCGTGCTGGGTTTGCAGATGCCTCGCATGCTATAAGGTCATATAAGTGGCAAGTTAATATATTTTTTTAAGTGTTGTACAACTCTATGGGAATCAGTAAATGGGAAGTAGAATAACTGAAATTGTAAGAGATCTTAAACAAAAGGGACAGACTTCCCATTCTGTATGAACATTCCATCTGGAAGAGCTCACCCTTCCAGAGAGCAGAAATGCTGAAAAGCTTGCGCTAGAGTGCTCAAAAGCAAACCAAAAAACTGTAATATTTGTGGTTTCATAATATATCATATAAACCAAGGAATGTAAGTGCTTTGTTTAAAGCAACTTAATACATTATTCCTGAAGAAAGAAAAATGGGATTAATGTAACTATAAGAAATAAAGAGACGGAGAGAGGAAAATTAAAACAAAGGAGGTCGTGGAAAATAAACTAATAAGGATGAAACTGCAGCTTTGATAGCATAAGAATCTGATATCTGTTAACTTTGCATTCATCCCAGATATTAACAGTTTGGGTTACGAGGGTTTCCCTAATTTGGAGAGGAAAAAATAATGATTAAAAAAAAGCTAATTCTCTAACCTGCTTCCAAAATGGAAATAAGCCACCCAAAAATCATAATCCTACACTTTTTTTTTTTGTCTTTTTTGTCTTAGCCACTTTGTAGTTTTCAGGTGCCATTTCAACAGCGACATATTGTACCTACACTTGTATACCACGTTTCATGCCATGCATCCCAAGGTGCTTTGCAGTACAATTTTATCACACAGTAGACAGAAGTTGTCAAATTCTCTCACTAAATGATGAGTCTGTTTCCTTCTAGATTGATTCAGGTTACTAAACCAGCATGAAAAATAGTGCACATACTCATGCCCATAAATTGTTCTCTGCTTGGTTTAGATTTAAATGCACCTTCCATACTGACTGTATGAGGACCAGATTTCATACATCTTGTTATCACTGTGAACTGACAAATCCTGAAATCATTCCTGAAATATTATTCTTCGAATTCTGTGGCATTAACATCTATTTCCAGTGATACAAGTATGACCAGAATCTCACCTTTAATGAGATGTGGTAGTATGTTTAGAATGTAAAAGAGAATTCGGGACCTTTTCATTCAGAAAAAATGAATAGCTTTCAGCTATGATGTATTTAACTTCTGAATGTGGCTATATATTTTTAGTGCTTCCCTATCATTCATTGTATTTTACAAAAGATTTTTTTTTTGTATATTTATAAATATATTCTACTTGTAAACCTCTTGCGCTGTGCAGCCAACAAGGAGTACTTTGGCCAAGTCAATGCCCTACATCTATAATTGCAGTTAAAAATCAAGAACTCCTTGAGATACATAAAATTATTATTTGGGTAGCAGTAAAATGTATTTTTAATGATATTTTGACCTCAGAATTTGGGTTGCTTTTTTTTTTTTCTTCTCAAGTCTTTACTAGTCTTAAGAACTCCCATCTAAATAGGAAGAAAATGACTTTGCTTCCTTAGTAGAGAGCATTTTCATATCTGTTTTATTGCAAAGTGTACATTTTGATCTCAGTTACATCTTTGTGAACTGATTCACAGTAAGATAGCTTTGTGCTATTGGAGTTGATTTATACAGTGAAACTGAGATCAGAATCTGACTCATTTAGGAAATCACACTGTAAAGACTAAATTACAAACATAAAATTACCTGTAATTATTAATGTAGTACTGTTGCTTATGCCCTGTTTCCTTTTTCTCCTCCTCTTTTTTTCTCCTGATTTGTATCTTCTTAAAAGTGCCAATCAATGGTAAGTTGCCCATTTGCCCCATGGAAGAGATGTGGAGGGTTGGGAGAGTATGTGTTTCATCCAAATTATAACCAGCCCACTGGGTTTTCCTGTTTGTTGGCTTGCATGTCAGTTGACACATAACATTTCACGCCTAATGTGATGGCTCATGATATACCGTGGTCCTAAAGCATGTTCAGCAGCCAGTCAAGACATTTTTCCTGATCAGATGATCCTCTGCATTTGTCCTCTTGTAGTTTGTCTCTAAACGTTGTATCAGATCTACATTTCCATTGCAGTCCTAGCTTGATGAAACCATAAGCCATTTTGTGCATCCTTTTATTTTGCTCACTCCAAACATTTGCTCTAAATTTGCAGCGTAAAATATTTCAGTTAACTAATCTAAGAAGTCTACAAGTCCTGTTTTGTTCTATAGGACTTGTTGAAGTTTCAGAATGAAACTTCTATGCAACTTAGAACCAAATGCCTAATTTAAAACTCTTTTATAATCAGCCAGTGTTATTTAAAGCAATATTATAGTTCGGACTGCTCTGCAATGCTTCCATTGTAGAACCATGGAATTTGCCTCATTCCAATCAGTCTTGCAATTTCCCTGTGTAAACTGCTCCATGGATTTACTGTTCTTCTGGCACATAGCCTTCACAGACAGAAGCAATGTTGATGATGTCAGATTTCTGCCATTCTTCTAGAAATCTGTGTGATTTGTATTTTTGTTTATAAGTAAAAATGAGCCAGTACATAATGAGATACTCTTTTTCTAGATGAAACCCATACGATGGTCAGTGACACAAGCAGCCTGGTTCAATCCCATACCTACAAGAAGCGAGATCCAGCGGATGTGCCCTATCAGACTGGACAGCTTCATCCAGCCATCCGTGTAGCTGACTTACTGCAGCACATCACCCAAATGAAGTGTGCAGAAGGCTATGGATTTAAAGAGGAGTATGAAGTAAGTATCAGATCTCATGATCTGATTAGTGTGTCTTCTGCCCTGTTGGCTTTATCTGTCTGCCAGCTGTACCACAGAATGGGAGAAATAATTACTCAACCCAGTAAACCAAGTGCTGTGTCACGGGAGGTACTGAATGGAAAGGATCACCTCCACAGTAAGCAAAGTTTCTGGTTGTAACAAGTCAGGATGAAGAGTGAGAAGCAAAACCTTTCTTGGAAATCTCTGCCTAATTCTACTTGCAGAAATATGTATATTGAAAAAGCAGCTTCACTAGCATTCTCCTGGAACTTACACTATTTTTCTTTTACTGCTATCTAATCAGACTTGCCCTGTAACATGGTATTACTTGGGAAATCAAGTTCTAGAAGCAGTATTTTTCACATTAATTGTGAGAGACACTAATCATTGCAAGGGTGTGCTCACATGTTCAGAGAGGTCCATAAGGCTATAAAATGTATTCTCTGCTGTCTCAAATTTTTCTTGCTTTCTGGAGGCTATCTCTAATACTCATTGTTCTTTATATGAACTTATAGTCTCTCTTTTTGCTGTTTGGCTTTTTTTTTCATTCAGCTTCTGTTTCTTCCCTTCATGCTACATTGACCTGTTCTTTGCTGTTATCCTCTTAGTGTTAAAAGTTATGACCACTATGTCCTGGCAAAGAATAGAAGAATGCAAAATCATGACTGCTGATCTTATCTTACTTGTGAGATAAGTCTGTCCATCTAGGTAGAAGAAAAAAAAAGCAAAACACAAGCAGACCTTGCTCTCATGCCCAAAACTATGGGTAATATTATACCCTCCTTTGAAAATTTGTTTATGCTGTAGAGCATCAAGGAACATATTGCTCCTCATCCGAATCGTATAGCTGAATCAATGGCAACATCTCAGCCTGGGTTGGCTGTCTAACATGAGACCCTTTGAAATCTGATAGGTCCAATATTTTAGTATTTAGAACATACAAATGAATGCCCTTTTTCCTCTTTTCTTTGTCTTCTACCTCAGAGTTTAAGGAGTTTGTTAATGTAGGTGGGTCTCACATGGTATTATAGAGTAGAGTAGAGTTTCCCAGAGCAGATCTTAATCCAGAAAACAAGTAGCATGAAAATATTACTTCACAAAGGAAAAATAGTTATGATTGACCCACAGGACTGGACTACAGAGTGCCAAAATTGTCATAGGAGTGCGTGAGAATTTGTGAAATAATTTTCCACTGCTGAGGTAGAAAGATGCACTGCATAAAAATTTGTGGTGTCTGGTATGTGGCATACTTGAAGCTATCAACTCAAAGCACTCTAACTTTTAATGCTTTATATGGACATGAACTGTGATCTAAGATAATGTGCACAGACTAAAAAATAACTGTTCTCTGTTCTGAGGTCTAGGAAACAAATGTGATCAGCAGCAGCCCACCGTCCTGTTCCCAGGGGCAAGTTATTCTTGACAGAGACTGTATCTACTTCAGTGCGTAGTAGTGTCCATCTAATGGAAGGCCCTATCCAAACTGCACTGCACCTCTAACCAAGTGTTACAGTCCTTAATTTCCTTTCCTTGGAAACTGAGATGTGAGAAATCAGAGGAACAGTTGTTCTGGTGTGATGTTATTCCAATGTAGCCAGTAAGAAGCAGAGTAATCCAAATGCAATTTTAACCATCTTCTCAAAATAGAAGCCAGCAAAAAAAGATCCCTTCTTATTCTTTAATCTGATAGAAAAAGAAGGGATGACAACCAGCGAAAACCATTTAAATTGCTTTCACCCTGTAGGGCAAGCAACAGTTTATCTTTTGGTCATGCACAGGTGTGTTCTGCTCTATGGGCTCAGTGTATCGTGCTTAAATTTTGAAGGTAGGAACTCATGTATTTGCTGCTGCAGGTCCTTCACTACGAAGACATTACTTGTTTATATAATACCTTGCTTAGTTTTTACTAGCCTGCTTTTTGCAAGAAATAGTGTTTTTGAGGCGTTTGTTGTGCTCTGTCATGACGGCTGTACGATATAAAAATTGCTTAAATATGTAATTGTTTAAACTGGTGTTTGTAGCATTATAAGCTTTCAAAGCCCATGCTTCAGGCCCTTTCCAAAGTCAACGACGACAATTTTTTTTTTCCCCTCAAATGTAGAAAACAATTAATTCCCAGAAGGAGGTAATCACTTGTCAACTTTCATTTGTGCAGCTGACTTAAGCAAGTTTGTTCCTTTGAGCTTTTTATGACACTGTTATTTTAAAATGATAGAATTTTATTCTTGTCTGTGGAAAAGATTTGCTCATCAGCCAGAACCCTTTGTACCAGCATTAAGCCTAGAGGAAAGCTACAATTAATTTATATATTAAAAAAAGAGGACTGTAAAATGGAATTTATAATGCAACCAACGACATGGCTTTTTAACTACAGCAGATCAGATGATACTACAGAGAAACAGTTTCCAGGAAAATCACTTAATTTTAAGCTTACCAAGCTGAGGAATGGCATCCCATTACAGACAATAAGTACAGTCATGACTGATGACAGTAGGTGCAATACATTTGGGTGCAGTGTGTAAGTAAAGGGAGATTTAAGATATTGCTGCATCGTATAGGTAATTTTCTATAACCAGAGTGAACTACAACTAACTATACATTTCAGGTTTTTTTTCCACTGACCTACTGCAGTATTGCTTTTTTTTTTTTTTTGTCCATGTGCATTGAAAAAAATGCTCAATCTGTTGTAGCACTGCTAAGATTGAGAATCAGTTTGTTTATGCTGTTGTCAAACTGATACTGTCCTCTTCACAAGGTTGACCTAGGCAATGGAAGAACTTTTTTCCTTGTAAGTTATCAGAAGGATAACAGTCCAAATGAAAAGGAAGAAATGGTTTGACAGGGGATTTGTTTTGAATCAAGTCTCATACATGATTTTTGCTCTAACAAGACAGTAGGATTATATATTCTCAGCAGGGAGAGTTTGGTTCAGGAGAAATTCACACAGGATTCGCTCTGAAAATAAATCTGTTGAAGTGAACAGAAAGTGAAGTAGCATATTACCCATTAGCGGCACTTCAGAGGAGTAAAAGGATACGGTGCACTCGCTGTCATGCATAGTTATAAGTGCTTTAAAATAAGATTTCATAATTAGGAACACAGTTCACAATAATTGGGACAGTAGTTCACAATCCACGTAATTTTAAGTCCTGTTGGCTTCACAGTTTTTAGAGTAACATAACCGAAGCAAAGGAAAAGGTTGAAAAATCATCTTTTGCAATGACAGGCTGGTGCTTGATCGCTCCCTGCTCCACTCTGCGATGCAGTGGCCCATTTGATAAGCTGAGTACCCTCAGGTCCCATGTATAGGGCCTCAAGAGGGCACAGAACTTGGCAGGATTGTGCCCTTCCCCATGGAGAAGAGATACTTTGTTCTCAGTGCTGACAAGGTTTTGCTGAAGTATTAGTAGGGAAGCATCCTGGCTCTGCTCCTGCTGTGGCGTGTGTGAGGATTCCTGTTCCCTAGGGCAGAATCTGGCCCCGAGTTTTGGCTGCAGCCATGCAGCTTTGGATCTGGTGTCTAGTTGTGTCTGCAGAGCAGCAGCAAAGACAGGCATGTCCTCAGCAGTGCGTCAGTAGCAAGTTCATGCCCATTTATCCAGGTGTTTCTCAGGTGCGGAAATAGCATGGGTACATTACTGTAAGCCAAGGACTCAAGCACAGACCTTCATTTACAGCCTGGTGGAGTGTTAATGATTGGAAAGGATTGCACAGAAATCCTTAAACTCTGGGAAATTTTCACACAGCTAGTCTGCAGTAGAGTTTTAAAATCCTTTCTATCCCCTGCCAGACCCTTAAGAAAGGAAAGGTTTTGGCTTGGTTCCAGCAGCATTAGATTGACAGAATAACATTGGCCTGATTACAAAACACCTTCCCCTACCCTCACCCCCCCCCAACCTCCCCAACTGTGCATTATTTTAGCTGCTCCCCGCTTCCGAAGCATGAGAGCTTGCACTAATGATGGAGAGGGAACATTGCTGATCTCCTTTCTGCATTACAGAAGCTATTCAAATAGGATACAAAGATTAAAGTGGTCTCTGTATTTCACTACCTTTTTCCCTTATACTTGCCACCTTTTCAGACTTCCTAGTTTCACAGGGCCTTACACTGTGTCTTTTCACAAAGATCAATATCTGTTAAAAGGTCTTAAACACTGCTGCAAAGGAGTGAGTTCATCCTTCCTAGGGAGGAGATGGAGTAGGCTTCTCTAGGCCACCACAGCTTAGCACAGCTAGGATGGAAATGGAAAAATTTATTATGCTTATTGTTTTAATTAAGATTTATTTTAGACTCTATTTTTGGTTCTTTCAATCTACAAAGCATTTTATCTGTTCACTGTGAATTGTTTTTTTGCCAAATAAACCTCTGTTGATATAAGTCTCAAACAGATTTCAGAGTGTCTACATAAGAGCTTGGACTGGTTTAGTCGAATTGATTTAAAAACACACCTTTAATTAAACTGGTGCAACATTGTGTAGATAAAGCCTTGCAAAATCGATTCCACATTATGTTCCATGACAGGGACTTCTGAGCTTCCATTATCTCAAAAACTGAGGTAACTTTGAAAAGCCAGGGTTTGCAGAGGGTATCCTTCTCAGATCAACCTCGTTTGCTGTCACTATCAGCACTGTCAGAAACAGGCTTTTAAAAAGGTTTCTCTGTATAACGTTAACTTTAAAGCCTTTCCCTCTGCTGTGTCTCTCTCCTTCCTTCTCCTCCCTTCCTGAAATGCATTCCCTTTCTCAAGGTTTTGTGGCAGTTCAGCTGTTTCACTCAGGAAGCAATTTTAAACTAGTACCATTGAGGCCATACTGCTCCTAATATGTAGGAGTTACATGCTGTCAAGACACACTGTACCGATTGTGCTGCTTTTATGCTGCGTGGTCTCCATCCACTCTGAGGGGTTGCACCAATGTATCTATATTAATTGCTAAATCACTGCACTTAAACAGGCAGATACTGATGTGAATACAGGCACA